TTTCTCTCTGTGTTTCCTTCTGAAATTCACATAATGTGTAAGTTCACCTCATGATGTTCTATATTTCCATTAGGTTATGTTCAGTCTTGAGCTTTTCCTTGTTGCTCAGACTCCATAATTTTGGCTACTTTATCCTCTGGTTCACCCACTCTTCTGCCATCTCAAATCTGTTGTTACATTGATTTTTTCCCAGCTATTGTGTCATTCAGTTTGAGTATTTGTTTGATTTTTCTATAGTGTGTATCTTGTTATTTATGTTCTCATTTTGTCCATGCATTGCATTCCTGATTTTCTTTAGTTCTTTGTCTATGTTTTCCATAAGTTCTTTGACTTATTTAAATATTGTTGTATTATATTCTTCCAATTTGCACATTAATTGGACTTCCATAAATACAATTTATCTCCCTTCAACTTGCTCACTTGAATGAACCATTATTTTCAGTTTCTTGGTGTGCCTTGTGATCTTTTGTTGAAGCAAGGACATTAGAATTTTATAAGATATTAACTTTATCAATTTCTTTGTATATATGATATTTTCTGTAGTACTAATTTGTACAAGAAACTCAGAGGTGGGCATATCCTTTAGACTGCTTCCTGCTCTCACTTCTTGCCTGTAATATCTCTGGTTCAGGCCAGACCAGGATCCTTTAGCAGTTCCCAAACTGGTCAGAAAGCATACGCTGATTTATCTACTCTCAGTCCTTGGTCAGGACTTTCTGCCCACTCTGAGGGCTCTAATTCTGGCCAGAGTGAAGTTTCAGTCTTTCAGACCACCTCCAGACAGGTGAGAATATACAACCTGAACAGCCTGGTAATAAGGTTTGTCTTCTTTTAAAGCTAAAGCTCAGCAATACTGCAGCTGCTTGTCTGCCACACAAGGAAGGGGAAAGGCAGAAACAGTGGAAGAAGTGCTTTTCCTACTTATGAGATTTTGTCCTTGTCTTGATTTGGTTTGCTGCTCCTTGCTATAGTACTTTGCTCTCTATTTCAGAGTTTACACAAGGCTGAGTACAGACTTCTAGTTGCTTTTCTTCATATTCATGGAGCGTCAGGATCTTAGTTTATGCTGCCATCTTCCCAGAATTCCCACTTTGATCCATTTTGAGTTTGGTTTTGTGTATGGTGTGAGGTGGGGGCCAACCGCATTCTTTTGGAGATCCAGCTGTCTCAGCACCATTTATGAATGAGACTATTATTTCACTTTGGATTGGCTTGGCACTCTTTTAAAAGGTCATTTGATCACAGATAATGAATTTATTTCTGGACTCTCAAGTCATTTACATTGATCCATAAGTCTATCTTTATGCTAGCACCATAAAGTCTTGGTTACTGTAGCTTTATAGTAAATTTTGAAATCAGGAAGTGTGTGTCTTCTAATATTGTACCTCCTTTTCAAGAGTATTTTGAAAAAAAAAGAGTATTTTGACTGTCTAGATCCCTTGCATTTCCATATGAATTTTAGGACCAGCTTGATTTATCAAAAAGGGTAGAAGGAGTTTTGGTAGTGATTGTATTGAAGCTATAGGATCAACTTGGGGGAATTTTGCCATCTTAACAGTATTGTCTTTCAATCCATGAATATGGGATGGTGTTCTTTCATTTCTTTAACAGTGCTTTGTAGTTTTAAGTGTACAAGTCTTTTAACATTTCTTTTGTTAAATTCATTCTTAAGTATTTTATTCAGTTTAATGCTGAATATTTTACATTTCTCAATTTATTTTCTTAATTGTTCATGCTAGTGCTTAGAAATACATCTAATTTTTGTGTAACGATCTTATATTTTGCAACCTTGCTGAACTTGCTAATGGCTCTGTGTGTGTGTGTGTATCCCTTAGGGTTTTCTATAGACAAGATTCTATCTGTACACAGAGGTAGTTTTATGTCTTCCTTCCCAATCTGTATGCCTGGTATTTCATTTCATTGTCTAATTGCCCTGGCTGGAACCTCCCTTGCAACGTTGATTACAAGTGAAGAGAGTGGACATCCTTGTCTTGTGTCTGATCTTAGAGGAAAGCTTTCAGTCTTTCATCAATCACTATGATTTTAGGTGTGGGCTTTTCATAGATACTCTATGGGTTGAATGTTTTTATTATGAAAGGAGGTATCGTGAATTATCTAATGTCTCTTCTAGCCATAGTCTGTAAATCCCAGCAAACAGTGTTTCTGCCTTGCTGGGTCTGGGTAAGAGAATGTTGGAGATGATACTGATAGGATGACGTGATTCAGCTATGAAAGCTACCAGAGTTCATTCTAATTGTGAAAACTTGAAATTCTAGCATGGGTTTACAATGAGCCAAGCAGGAAGGAGGAATCTCATTACCATCATAGAAAAGCCAGGAGTGGAGTGTGTCCTTTGGACCTGGAGATCCTAGTGCATTGAACTTCCTGGACCCAAGGACAGAAAGCTGTGATACCAGAGGAGTGGCAGATGAGCAACAGAAGCCAAGAACCAGAACATAAGACAGAGCAGTGGGCTTCCCAGCCCACGGAGTGACTATGGACTGGAAACTTGCTTATAGAGTGGGGTGCTTCCAGGAACTTAAGTTGGGGAGCTAGGTTTGCTGACCCACACAGCTAGAGCTGAGTGCCTCAGGCTGAGGTTTAGGGTGGAGTAGTGTGCCCCATGGGCATTTATCAGCAGCTGACTGGAACAATGATACCCTGAGCATTTCTGACCCTGAATTGTAATCTGTTAATTTCCCTAATCAACCCCTTAACTGAGTATGATGTCTTGAGTTCTGTGTGGCTATCGCAATGGATTACCGAATTTAGCTGAGTAAGAGATTTATGAATGGATGATTTGTTGTCACATATTGTTGCAGGTGTTAACTTTTGTGTGTGTCTGTTGAGATAATGGAGTCCTGGTGTGGCACTATAAGATAAGTGCTAGACTGCAAACCACAAGTTTGGCAGTTCAAAACCACCAGCCACTCTTGGAAACCCTATTCAGGGTTTCTACGATTCGAAACTGACTCGACAGCACCTACAATATTGAAAAAAATACTGTGGCTATTGCCCTTTATTGATATCATGTATTAACAGTGATTGGGTATTTAAAATGTTGAATCAACTTTACATTCCTAGGATAAGTCCTATTGGGTCATAATGTATAATCCTTTTATTGTTGTTGTTGTTTTAAGTTTTTATTGTGAACTGAGTGATCGTTTACATGGGAGAACATTGGCTTTATACCATCGTTTCATTGCAATGATACAGTCTCCTCCGTGCATCATCATTCAACAGTATTTGCTTCCATTCCCTGTTTTGTTTGTTGTTTTTTGGTGGGGAAGATGTACACAGAAGCACGCAGGAATATATAATAATTTAAACAACCAAAGGGCACATTCTACAGGCCTGCCTCCTGGCCACCAGCACCCAGTTCTCTTCTCTTTCCATGAGTCCAGAGTCCTTAGCTGCTCTCTTTCTCCACGTCATCATCTCTGCCTCCATCTCTGGTGTCACTGCTTCTCTGGATAGAGTCCTGCACTTTGCTTGTGCTCTTCTCTCTTTATGGTCCTAGGGTCCTCTATTTCTGTGCTGTAAGATTAACTACTTCCCTGTTTTTGTTACAAAACTTCTACCTTTACAGTTGTGACAGTAGCAATTAGTCATAATAACTATTTCTCACTATTGAATTATGAGAATCTTATCCCCCATCTCTTTTCACCAGACCTGTCTTAAGAAGATTGTATAATCCTTTTTATATGCTGCTGGATTCTGTTACCTTTCATTTTCATAAGAGATTGGTCTATATTTTGTGTGTATGAGACCGAGATAGCTTTGGTTTTGTTATTAGGGTATTACTGGCCTCGGGATAAGTTGGAAAGTCTTTCTTTCTTCTGTTTTTTGGAATAGCTTGTGAAGGATTGCTGTTAATTATTCTTTTTTAAACATTTGGTAGAATTCATCAGTTAAGCCATCTGGTCCTGGGTTTTTCTCTAAGGGGATTCTTTTATTAATGCAAAGATCAGGTGATTATTTATAGTGCAATCCATTTGAGCATGTATGTATGAGTGTGTGTCATAAAGGATATACCTATATGCTTGTATTTACACAGATAATTTCCGGAAGGATATACACAAAACTGGCAGAAAAGGGTATCTTTAAGTAATGGGTTGGAATTTAAAGTCTCTTTTTTAAAAAATAGTCATGTATTTTAATTTGGGGAGAGGTTGCTGCTTAAAATGACTAATGAAGTTGTTAGGGCCTCTATGAGTCGGAATGGACTCAGTGGCAATGAGTATGATAGAAATGGCTATTGGTAAGGTCTCTTGCCTTAGAAACCAAATTGGAAAGTAAGTATTATAAGTACATTTGAGTTTACAGTAAGTTCCCAGGTTACAGAACATCCAGTTTACAAATAATTTGTACGTACCCTTTGTTGTCAGGTGTGCATGATTATTATTTAGCCTTAACTTCAGCACCAGAAAAGGAGCAACGCCTTTCCCATGATCTAAAAGCTGACTGTGATAAAGAATTTATTGTGAGTAGGGAGGGGACTCCTGGTGTGGTGCTGTAGGATCAGCACTGAACTGCAAACCATAAGGTTGACAGTTCAAACCCACCAGTTGCTCCTCGGAAACCCTATGAGTGGGAACTGACTTGACAGCACTTAACTAGGGAAGGGTTGGCTCAGATGTTTCAAAATGAGGGTAAATTTACATAGCAACAAAGGGTTGTTGTTGTTAGGTGCCATGGAGTCAGTACCGACCCATAGCGATGGCTACTCATAGCTACTCAACAAATTCTTTATCACAGTCAGCTTTTAGATCATGGGAAAGGCGTTGCTCCTTTTCTGGTGCTGAAGTAAGGCTAAATAATAATCATGCACACCTGATACAACTCACTTACAAATTTGACGTTAAAAACACATTTAGGAACGGATCTGGTTTGTAAGCCAGGGAATGCCTATATTCATTCCTTGCCTAGAAAAAAGTTATTTCATGTGGTGATTAATAATATTATGCTTTAATAATTTCTCTCTTTTTCTTTCTCTACAGACCTTTGTAGTATTAAACAGAGGGAAAACTCTCTTCAGATTTAGTGCCACGCCTGCCTTGTACATTTTAAGTCCTTTTAACCTGCTAAGAAGAATAGCTATTAAAATTTTGATACATTCATATCCTTTTCTACAAGTGTGGGATGAGTGCAGCAATTTGCATGTTGCTTGTATACATGTCTTAATTTTGACACCTTGATTATGTGTAAGTTTTTTTTAACCAACCATTTAGCTGTCTGCCCTACCAGTCCTAGTTTAAGAGTGAATTCCTGCCAAATCTCAAGTGGAGCTTCAGCAGTTTTGTTTTATAAAGATAATGTTATTAGTGTCCTGGAATGTTATTGGTATCAGTAAAAGGGACAGATTTTAAGATAACTATTTGGTGAAGACTTATTTTTCAAGTGCTGAGATTTTAGTAATTTCATCCAGTACCAGATTATTCTGCTTTTTAATGTATTAAGATCCAGTATTAGAATTTTTTTAAAGCTACCCCTTAAATTGCAAGTAATTAATTGCATGAATTAGATACCTACCTTGAATTTTTTAATTTCTTGAGCACTGAGATACTTTATCAGATTAAATGGCTTCCTTGGTACAGCTATTTACATGGATAAGAACAATCTTTTCTGGTATTTGCTCCCCTTAAATAGAAAATGTCAATTAATTTGTATGGTCTGACTTTTTCCATCTTATTAGTATGGGAGCACATATGACAGATGAAAATTGATACCTAATGTGAAATCCATCTGCTTTTGTGGGGTGGGGAGTCTAATTTTTATGTATTTTCCCCTTGACTCTTCTCTACAGTATTTAGCATGATCATTATGTGCACTATTTTGACCAACTGTGTATTCATGACTTTTAGCAACCCACCTGAATGGTCCAAGAATGTGGAGTAAGTAGCTTGTTTATTTGTGTCTTTTAAATTTTCTAGTCTCTGGATCCTAACTTTGTCATATTTTATCCATTAAGGAAAGATTTTTGTTATTGCCCACTCTTCTTCATAGTTGTTGTTAAGTACCGTGGAGTCGGTTCCGACTCATAGTGACCCTGCACAGGGTTTCTGAGGCTGTAAATCTTTATGGGAGCAGAACGCCTCATCTTTCTTCCGCGGAACCGCTGGTAGTTTTGAACTGCCAACCTTGAGGTTAACAACCCGATTCGTAACCACTACGCTACCAGAGCTCCTTCTTCTTCATAGAGATGAGTGAAAATATAGCTATTGTTTGTTGGAATGTATGAAATACCTTATAAGTCAACTCTGGAAAGGAAGTGCGCTCTCAAACGTCCTGTCTTTCACTCCTGTCCTTTTCTATGCCTTGGGCTTAGCGGCCCCATCACCATCTTGTACTTTCAGTTTCTGGTGATACTGTATTCTTCTCCAATATTAGCTTTCCTTCCTTTTTGACCCTTCTAAGGAGTCCTGGTGTGGCACTGTAGGGTAAGCACTGGGCTGCTAACCACAAGGTGGGCAGTTCAAACCCACCAGCTGCTCCTTCCAGGGTCGCTATGAGTCGGAGGAACTATGAGGAGCGTGGTGGCTCTGTAGGATCAGCACTGGACTGTGAACCACAAGGTCAATGGTTCGTGCCCACAAGTCACTCTGCAGGAGAAAGATGAGGCTTTCTACTCCTGCAAAGATTTACAGTCTCCATGAGTCGGAACTGACTTGATGGAACTTAACAGCAAAGCTTAAATATAGTTCTGGGGCCTGTTCACCTGGCTCAAAATGATCATGCATGTCAATATGTAGTTGCATCCATGAACTATCCTTCAGAATCCTACACAGCATTCACAAGTTCTTGGTTTGTGCATTTCAGTAAGTTTCATTCAAAACATTCCTTTCTCCTTTTTTTTTTGCGTTAGCCTATGTCCTTTCCATTTTGTCTGTTTTCACTGAAGTCACACTTTAGGCAAGTGTTATCTTAAAAGGTTCATTTAAAGTTTCTTTCTGTTTAGAAATTGCCTCAAGCTATCCATTCCTTTGACAGGTACACGTTCACAGGGATTTATACGTTTGAATCATTAGTGAAAATTATTGCAAGAGGTTTCTGCATAGATGGCTTTACCTTTTTACGGGATCCATGGAACTGGTTAGATTTCAGTGTCATCATGATGGCGTAAGTTCTCTGCCTATTTTGTTGGTGTTCTCGGTATGGGTGTGTGTGTGTGTGTGCTTGTGTTCCTGGGGCCAGTGGTGTGACAGTGTATGTATGTGTGGGTTGAATGAGGAATTAATTATGGGCTTGTGTTTTTATTTCTTGCTGGTGAGGACCTCTTGTGATACAGGCAACAAACAGTGTGATTCTGTGGGAGAAGGTAAGCAGTGGGTTTACAGCTGGGAGAGAAAACAGGAGGTGATTTCCCACTGACAATCCCTCATAAGAGGGGAATTCAAAAAGTTCATGAAAAATGGATTTAAAAGGTCATGGAGTTTTTCCACGATTTTTTTAAAGCCCCCTCATATTTCCTCCTCCCATATAACATTAACTGAGGTTTGCATGCCCATCACTAGGGGGCCTATGTGAAGACTTAGAATTTCTTAGGTATGAATCTTAAGCTGAAAATGAGTTTCCTGGATATGTTATATCCCATGTAATTTAATAAGACTGGCCAGGTGTTGCAGACTTCAAAGCATTAGTCAGGGTATCCAAACGAAAGAATTACTGTCCAGACTTTGCAACTATTGCTAGAGACCAGTCTAACTCCACATTGGTGTGCTAGTGACTCGAAGTAGTTTGTGTGGTTTCACCAATGCCAATGTTACCTCTCTGAGAAATGGTAAAAAGACAATAGGAGGCTTTATTATTTTTCTTTCTGGGTTGGGAAAGAGCTTTGTGGTTTGATAGCGGCTGGGGCTGTTGTGTATGTTTGTGTGTGTGTGTCTGCAGATGTGTAAGAGGGTACATTTGTGAGTGTATGGATCCAGGCATCCACTAGAAAGATATGTTCCAACTAGTAAAATGTGAATGAATGCTATGCACTAAATATTTGAAACTGGAATGTTGACTTTCTTTTAAGGCAGTTTCTAGCTTCCACGTCTTATGAATGCATACTGGCATTCATTGAAATATAAGTGTCCTTGGTAGGCACAGAATTGGTGATAAAATGGGCATTTAACATAATGTTTGTTCTGAGGCCATGATTTGGACTTTACTGAGCATATCTTGTCATAGGCTAAGATTTTGCCAATAGGCATGACTGCAAAGATATGCATGCAGTTCTCAGGCAAATCACTTGGCTATAGAGACATTTAGCCATTTTTACCATTCTCAAATCAGGAGTTATTTTAATATAGATTTATTCATGGGGGACACTCCTGCTTCAGGAGTGTCTCCATTTTCTAAGAAATCACTCACAGAACTTGGGATACCGCCGGTGTTTTCTTTTACCAAAAAAAAAAAAAAAAGAAAGAAAGAAAGAAATGGGCTGAGAATAAAGACATTCTGGTGGGAATCAGCATATCACTATGCTGATTAAAAGAGTAACCACCCCCGACCCTCACCCCCACCCCAGCCCGGGAACTCCTGGTTCTAATGCACTTGGAGTTCTCCTTGCCCAATTAAAAAAAAAAGGAAGTGTTACTAAAGAATTTATATTTCGAAATTTTTCTTTTTCTAGGGAAGATATTAAATCATAGCTTGTATGTAAGACCCTTTCTCTCCCCCATTCCCAAACCCTCGCCCAATGGTACCATTACAAGTTAACTTTGGTTTGATTCTGCAGGTATATAACAGAGTTTGTAAACCTAGGCAATGTTTCAGCTCTACGCACTTTCAGGGTACTGAGGGCTTTGAAAACTATTTCGGTAATCCCAGGTAAGATGGCCCGGGGTTGGTGTTAGGTGTTGGGTTAGGGCCCTGACGTGACGTATTGTACTTTTTGTTTTGTTGTGGTTTTGTTTTTTCCTTTGGTGTTTGTGTTTGTGTCTGTGTTTGTCATTGGTGTCTGTGTGTGACCTCCCTTACTACAGATATGTGACAGAGTTTGTGGACCTGGGCAATGTCTCAGCGCTGAGAACATTCAGGGTTCTCCGAGCTTTGAAAACTATCTCTGTAATTCCAGGTGAGAAAATTCAAGCACAAGACTGATTTTGCCTCATCTCCTCTTTCCCCGCCATTCATTCTATCCACCACATTCTAAGCCGGCATCAGCACCGTTGAGATGGCCTTGCATTCTGCATGTCTTTCCTGGGAGAGGATCTCTGGACTGGCTCTTTGGCCTTTAGGCAATGTTCTCTGCTTGCCAGGCATGCAACACCCATTCCATCCACGCTTGTCAGAAAGCACGTGCACAAGCATCACTAGACTCTTACAGTATCTGAAAACATTGCCACAGAGCTGGTGTCTCTTTGAATATGTCATTTGCTTCCTTGCCTCATGGAATTACAGTAATTTTAACATTCACCATTCCTCCATTGCTTATGATTTCCAGGCTTCCTATAGCATGGTTTGCTGATGGGATGTCATTCAAAGAATTGTACTTTTACTGTAACTGGGCTTGTGGAATTATTCCATCACAGAAGAGACTGACCCAGTTAACTAGTCCAGTATTACAGTTAAGTTCAAGAGCCTTGGAATCAGTGAACTGTAGTAACACTATCACATTCTGGTGTGGCATTTGGGATAATATACTGGACCGAAAGGTTGGTTTGAACTGCGAGATCGGTGGTTCAAACTCACCAGCCATTCCTTGGAAACCCTATACAAGGTCTCTGCGAGTTGGAAACGACTCGACGGCACTTAACAACAACAACAATCACATTCTACTGCTGTTTCACTAAAATAAGAACCAGTAGTCACCTGCTGTACACATACTCAAAACTCACTCTCAAATATGAATCCCAGGGAAAACTTATGCAGGTTCTTTTAAAAAAAATCAAAGGTAAGATAAGACACAGTTAAAAGTAGTGAAACATCTAAACATACGGGCAAATAAAAAGTAGCAAAACTTGAGAAAGGAAAAGGAATCAGTAGGTGGATTGGTAAGGTAGTCTATGAAATGTCTGCCTTTTTCTTGTTGATCCTTTTGAAGGTTATGGAACCCTTTGAGAATTAGGAGATCGTTCACAAACCCTACACTCCACTCCCCTGAGACCCATCTGTAATTAAGATTGCTTAATTTTATTTAAATCCTGGCAACTGGGTAATGCTGTGTTTCTAAAGACCGGTCTTGAACTGTAGATTGGAAGATGTTTTAGTTGGTTTTATAAACCTAAAATACACAAACACTAATTTGGCAGAGGTCAAGACTGTGCTCTTGGTGGTTACTTTAAGTCACATTCAGGGATTTTCAAGGAAGACTCCCTAGAGACCAGCCTGCCCACTGCAGTTTTATAGAAACCAGAGCACGAAGAACAGAACATCCTATCCTGGCACCTGGTGGCTTTTCCCCTTGTAAATGACTCCGAAATATTTCTCTTTCTCCTTTTCAACAGTATCTCAATATCAGCCGAGGGGGAAGTATAAACATACAATCCTGTGAGAGCAGACTTGGACTGTGGTTTACTGAAAACCATGGGGAAACTAGACATTGGTTTTCCCATAGACAAATGTGGGCCATAGAGTGGGCCAGTTAATTAGTGCCTGGAATATACTCAAGACAAATTCCTTTATTTCTAGTAATATTTGCTTACTCCTTATCAACTAGGAACTGGATGTCAGATGGAGTGTATCCTTCTTGGCAAAACAACAACAACAACAAGGCAAAACAACCACCCTGACATTTCAAGGTTTAATTCTGACCATTATAAATTCGTTTGACAGAAAGCCCAGCTCATTCTCCAAGAGCTTCCTGCAGCACACTGATGGTGGCCTGATGCTTCAGCAGGTCTTGTCTTATTTTTCCAGGCATCTGGAATGCCAGATCTTTACCTTCATCTTTCATTTGGTCTGCCTGTCCTCCTCTGGCCCCTTTAAAACATGATCCCGAGTTTTCTGCTCACTTCCCCCAGCGCACTCTGCAAGGCATCTGTCTCTTCATGTTCTTGTGATCTCAGAACTTCTCTTCCAGCGTTAAATTGGAAAGCTGTGTTCTGTTCACTAACTAGGGCAGCAGATGCTATCTCTGGTCTAGTTCATAGCTTCTGCCTCTGCTATGTGGCTAACTTGTCACCACAGCATTTCTGCAGTATAACTTTTGACTAATGTCACTTTATTGTTCATACTCCAGTACTCTCTCACTCTTTCTCTGTACATAATATATATATATATATATATATATGTTGGGGTGGGGAGAGGGCTACAAAAAGTTCATGGGAAAATTCCATTATCTTTTCATTCCATTTTTCTATGAACTTTTTTGTAGAGGCTTCCTAGCGACTGACCCCTAAGGGGTATTCTACACTCCATCAATGGTTAGAGTTGGAGCAGTTGTTATTATGAAGAAGAAACCTAAGACCAAAGAAAGAGTTTGTATCAAGATTTAGACATCAGCTTCAGACCTTCCTGGATTCCTGTTTCTGAAAGCGTACCCAATTGAGTCAGCTCTGAGGGGTCAACTGGGATGGAAAATTATTTTAAAGGATGATAGTGGGTCCCTAGGTTGGGCAGACAGCTGCTCTAACATACAGGCATACCTTGTTTTATTGTTCTTCGCTTTTTTGCACTGTGTAGATATTGCCCCCCCTTTTTTTTTACAAATTAGAGGTTTGTGGCTACCCTGATAGGTCTATCAGCACCATTTTTCCAACAACATGTGCTCATTTGTGTCTCTATACCACATTTTAACAGTTCTCACAATATTTCAAACTTTTTCATCATGCTCTTACATACAGAATGGTGTAAACACAACTTTTTATATGACTTTCATATGCACTGGAAAAGCAAAAACATTGTGTGTCTCGCTTTATTGCAATATTCACTTTATTGCTGCGTTTAGGACCAAACCCACAGTAGCCCCAAGGCATGCCTGTACTAAGCTACAAGTTGGCAGTTTGAACCCACTCAGTGGCATTGTGGAAGAAAGGTCTGGCAATCTGCTGTAAAGGCTGCAGCCAAGAAAACCGTAAGGAGCAGTTCTAATCAGTCACACAAACTTGCCATGAATCAGACTCAGCTCAACCAGTCTGGGTTTTGGGGGTGAAAGCCAATCCCTTAGCAGCTCACTCTGAGACTTGGCGTAATTGGTACTTGAATTAAGGTGTGACTTTTAATCACAAGTCCATTCCCTCCTTTTAGAGTTAGTAGGAGAAGTCAGTACCTGCTGTTTAGTAAATGATGCATCTCTGATGGAGAGACTCATCTCATCCTGTGTAAAAAAGTCTGTACTTGTTTATCATACTTTCTGCCACAGAAGGGTATTGTCTTGTTCCCATGAGGCTATTTCCCTGGTGTCTTTTTTGGTGTGAGTTAGTGGGCCTGGGACCATCCCTTGCTTCTATCAGTGACTTCACTGATACGGAAGTGGCTCATTAGCAACTTGATTTTGCATACCAACTTTTCTCATAGCTGACTTCAGTGGAGTTTCTCTTTTTGCCTTCTCCTGTTCCCAGTGTGATTATAGGCTTTTGGCAAAGCTGCCAAACAGAGTGGAAAGAGAGCAGCCATGGAATCGACATGGGGGCTACAAACTCACAAAACTCTCCAAAGCTCAGCTTCCTTTATGAGGGTTTCACTTTTCAGAGCCCCCCCATCCATAGCCCTAACCCCCAATTTACCTGGACTGACACTGTCCTCCCTCTTAGCATCTTTGGTAGCTATTCTGAATGCGTCAAGACTGCTAGGAATAGCAAAACAATGACCAGTAAAGTACATCAGTCACCTACAGCCTTTTGCATAAAAAATGCTTTAGTCCTTTTTATACCTTTGTTGTTGTTGTGAAGTGCCACTGAGTCGGTTCCGACCCATGGTGACCCTGTGTAGCGTTTCCGAGGAGAAGCTGGTGAGCTTGAAATGCCAACCTTGCAGTTCAAACGGCTTGGCAGGCTGGCGTATTAACCCACAGCGCCACACCAGGACTCCTCTTATACCTTAGAAAAGCCCAAATCCACATTTTAATTGCTGACTGAAGATTTGGATATATATCTTAGTTCGTGGTTTCCCTTTTGATTCTAAGGGATTGACTCGAGAGCACTGCACCCCATACTTCATGCTGAAAGGATCAGTTATTAAGGAAATCGTTTCTAAATTTTCTTTGGTCTGGAACTTAGCAGATTTAACTTGACATTGAAATACTCTGTTTAGAAGTGTAGATGCCTTTTCACTTTGTTCTTGCTTAGTATTTACCTGGGACCTGGATCTACACATGAGCTTCTGAGTGACACTTCTGACTGTCGCAGATTCATCTTCTTCACCCTGTGACCGTGCACCACAGGACTAACTAACATAGGGTGCAAATCTTCAGAGGAGGTTTTTCTTAGAGAGCAACATGCGGTGGTATAGATAAAACCAGCTGGGTGCGCCTCACTCCCATTTCCTGTTCATTTCTATCATCATGTACATGGTTCCACAAAAGCACTTAACTTGTTCTCTGATTGCCAGCACTCTTTTAATATCATTTTACTCTCTTTAGAGTTATACTGTCTTGATTATTTTTCTTTTGAATATTTTCTCTCTGCTTGTGTTTCTTGCACTCCATACCTGTGGTATTAAGTAGGAAGCAGGGAAAATGATGGGCCCTCTCTTTCCCATCCCAGTCTCAAGAAGAAAGCATGGCAAAGGGAGATAGAAACTGTTTTAAGACTATATTCAGATTGCCTGTTTCCTTTAAAATATTCTTGTTACTGATCCAGTTGCTTTTGTATTTCTTTTTCCACATTACTTCTCAGGAAAAATAACTACAGACTAAAGCAATAGTCTTAGGTGGGAAAAAAACAGAG